TCATCGGCTAGTGATACCCAACCCCAGTGTGACCGCTGAAATTGCTGCCACATCGAGATTTGAACTAGCGATCTCTCCCGTCAGGGCGAACGTACTTCTTCCTTTTAGTACACTTTAAATAAACGCAGATTTACGAATCCTACAATGAGTCGGCATGTTCAGCTCACGTTTTTCACAAGGGACAGCAGGTAAACGTCACATAACGTCCGTCAATTACGTTCTTGTAGATATTCGGTCCCGTCTGACCCTATCAGTGTTCCGACTACATCAACTGTCAACGACCTACAAAATATCATCACACAGTTATTGAACGAGGAGTTGGTGGTGTTCGATTTTCTTATAAACAACGAGTTTATCGAGGGAACGCTCGATGAATTTATTAACAAAAAGAAGATTTCGGCAGTAAATTATTTATTTTTTTGTTCTCTATATTCATTTTGCTAGGAGACACTTGATGTTGAATATACCGTAAGGCAAGCCGCCCCGGTTGTCTCCGGTGAGATAGTTCATGAGGATTTTGTCAGTTGTGTGAGCCGCAGACAGAATTAGTAAGTGTCTATGGACTGAAAAATTTGAATGTTTTCTTTTCGTGTCTATTTAGAGAACTGATCTTTTTTCATGCCCCTTAGCGTGTCCGATTAAACACTCAAAAATAATATGCCCCGTTAATCTTAATCTTTTGACAAACTGTATAACATACATGTTTTTGTGGCCTCCATTGGGTAGCTTAATATAAGGTTAACTTTTTGGTCTGCGGTTACATTTTGGTTTGGTTTTCGAACCGCCAGTTGGTAAATTTTTCATAGAACTCTATCAAATGACTGGCGTTCTGATCTTACTTTTGTGTTACATGCTTCCCACACAGACACCCAAATTGAATGTTTCGTCTTTTCAAAAAATTTAAGCACGTTATTTTCTGTGTGATACTACATTGTGTACCGACTGATTTTCAAACGCACTGTATGTCTTACTGTTTTTCTTCGTCTTTTGAAGGCAAACATAATTTTTTGGTTAAGCCTAAGGTTTTTTTTGGAGTAGTTGTCAACATAACAAAAAGATGACGCTAAGTCATTAGGATTGCATAAATATATTGACCAGACCAAAGCCTACGTATGAATAAAAGCATTTTTCGACAATGCAGCTATGTTTCCATAGGCCTCTCCGTGCATGCCACAGGAGCATACTACTGGATTTTTTTAATGTTTCTGAAAAATACTTTATTTTAGTGTTCTCACGTGCGCATATGATGGAGCAGTTAAACTGCATACCATCGATGGAAAAGGCCCTATCTTTACGCTCGCGTTAAACGAAAAAGTGAAGGTTGTTGAATGGGTCGACCTCGGTAGGTATTTTTTTGCAACCTCTTATAACCTTCACATTGACAGTTTTTTCGTTAACCTGCTCTCAAAGTTCTTTCCATTGCTTATCTTCTCTTCCTGCTTTGTCATGTTCATGCAGTGACATATAGCATTGACGATGGTTTGGAATAACGCTTTCACCTTTAAGATAACTGGTTGTAAATAAATGTGGTTATTTCATTTTTTCTGTTTTTCGTAAGTCAAGGTAAAGTATGGGAGTCTTCACTCCGGCAGGCTTAGTTCATACAATTTGGATATGGTACCTTATCTGTCCTCCTAGTCGTTTTTATTAAAAGATTTTGGGATGTTTTACTTTCTCCGTTGCAAAGAATCTACGGATCATCTCATGTCACTTTGTTAAGGGGCGCTCCCATTTCCACCTTATAATGCTATGTCTCTAGGTTATGTGCTATCGTTTGATTTCTAGTGTAGAAGACAGATAGGGATGGCAGGGAAGACAAATTTACTGCGGCAATCGGTTTCAGGTCCTTACGAAGCTACTACATTCGAGCGTCACATTGAATAACTGGCGTGTTCCACCAACTTGGAAAGACTCAGTGGTACCAGCTTATCCGACTTTAACCAATGACGTGCAAATTGCTATTTGGCACACTGGCTTAGGAAGCAAGAATGATCTATAGTGTGGTAATTCCCTGTCCTGTATGCGTGTCATACGATATAAATGGTGCGTCGAATCTCGGGGTACCCTAAAATAATGTTTGTCAATTTTTGTTTGTTTCTTGTTCTGCTTCAAATTATTTTCTCATGTTAATGATTCTTCTTTTATGCGGTAGACGAGACGCAAACAGGAGAATCCGTATTTTTAACTGGAGGCTTTGCTCAGGTTGTCCGATTATGGGTTTGGAATCAAGCTACTCGGTCTGTCAGATGTGCTGCCATATGTCGTGGCCATCAAGGAACTGTTTTGTCTATGGCTTCGAATAGTCAGACAAATGATTCCAAAGACAAGATATTTGCCACAGGTTCTTGGGATTCATCTATCAAGATCTGGTCTTCCGGTAAGTGTTTTTTTTACTAAGATCTCTTACCTTAAGGCCTACAGTTACCTGTTGCTTGTTGCTGTTTGTTATCAGTTGCTTATTTCAATATGATTCACTACAACTGGTTGTCTCTATCAATGATGTTAGCATCGCACGAACTATTTGAGTTTATTTAACGGTGTTCCATACTGTATAGTTTGCCGGCCGAAGCTTATGTCAGAAATAGTGCCAACTAATATTCCTGGTTCCTGTTTTTTCACCAAAAGTAGCTTCAGTTCACCGTAAAGACTACACACTTAATGAAATATATTCTTGTGATCTAACCAGGGATGAATTATCGGGTATCTACAAAACACTAACACATACGGTAAAATGAGGGTCTGCGTTATATCCGAATTCATTTAGAATTTCGCTGTCTCATCATGCATCTGGGCCCCCGTTAACCAAAGGCCTCGCGTATATCATATTCACTTGATTCGCTATAAGCTTTTGCGAAATGCTCCGTTTTGTGGTTGTAAATGGGCCACTCAATCCTATGTGGGTGAAGTCGATACCAGAATGTAGTGAATGGAAATTCATCCTGTCTATTGTGCTTAAGGCAATAAGACTCCGCCAGGCGCTGGAAGCCTCATCGGACTATGGCTCTTCAGCCACAACTACGACCATTTCTGCTCGCAGAGAAGTCCCGAAATACGTCGCTTTATTCGAAAAGATTGAGAAGCCCATAACGTCCCTTATTTTTAACGAACTTTGAGAAGTGCCTGGTTTGAAACTCGCGCACTGCTGAGATCTGTCCTTTGACTGTGACGTTCTAGAACTGTTCCTTATGACAGTTATGAAAGGCTTAACGGATTTATAATGATAGTTAAATCTGCATAACCAGTATCTTATTTCACTAAAAAAACACCTAATGGAGGATTTCCACCAACGCTGATGCCTTCATGTTATGGAAAATGCCTAGTAAGTGTTCTTAGGGTGGGCACAGTAAATTCACTTTGGATATCACACTTGAGAAGAGGCGTTTGGAAACCGAGATTTCTGGAGGTGGGCTTTTAGTTGACAAAGATGTAGAATCTGAATCGTTTGTTTTTCCAAATAGCTACTTGACTGGATTGTAATGGCTGACTACAAAGCCTCGTCACGGAACAGCATGGATGGACTGTGCAGCCTTCCCAAGAAAATAGAGCACAAGGACCCCTGTAATACGGAAAGAATGTTAATATTAGTTCTGCCCGTAGGGTAGACAGACGCGGTAATTAACGGAATTTGTCGAAGGCATTGAAGAAGTTCGCATTTTTCATATTTAATTTTATTAATCTATCAAGGTACCGGAATAAACCAAGCAATTTGAAAGATGTGAAGTAAGAGTGCGTAAACAGATAAAGACAGGTAATCAATGGTTATTGGTTAGAGAATGACGGATTGAGTATGTGACAGGCAAGTTTAACCGTAGCAGTCTAATCTAGCATGCCTATATGAATGAAATGTGTAGGCGTGTTATAGCAATAGAACTAGATTCGGTAGATCGACCATGAAGCGTCAATAATCCGTCAACTTAACTAGAGTACTGCAATTTGTAAAGGAAGTTTGTTTTGTGGCCGTTGGAAGTGTGAATACTAGCTTCACATCACGACCAAGTTGGCGCATCATTGAAAACCCTTGGGTCTTTCCTATTTTAATGTTATTTTTTTTGGTTTCTTATAATTTTGTTATTTTTAGAAGTAGTCCTTTAGAAATGGGTACTTATCTGACTTCGTTCTTGAACTTTTGCCTTGAACGAGATTTCATAAATTCACTTTTGAAATCCGGTTTTTTTTAACTTAGACCCCAACGAAACAGATCTGTCTGAGGAGACCGGTGGAATCTCACACCATCGAAAATCTGAAGACAAACTTCCTGTCCGCGTGAGTTAATTTTATGCCTGAAAGTTCCAGCATCAATTTCAGTTGTTTTAATTCTAACTAAATGCTCTTCAACTTGTCTCCCATATTGGCCTATAGGCGTGCTGTGATGGTAGTTAGTAGTCAGTTTTCTCTCCATTGCGGGCACCGATAAGTGATAATATCTCTTCGCGGTGCTCTTGTCAATTTCATGGTTGTTTCGATGTATTCCCGACGCTGAAAGTTTGTGACATGAGAAGATAGGCGGATGAACTGCAGACAGTAGCCGAGGTCCTATTGGCTGACTTTGTCTTTATAGAGGATTGTAATATAAACAAGGGGACTTTTGATGTACCTGAAAGGTGGATCTTTGACCAATAAGCATTAGTAAAACATTGTGCCAATATGGAACGAATTACTAGTTTTGCTGCGTTTAGCCGCATTGTCTAAAGCACCCCAAGATACATCTAGTCACGTAGTACTAAATGGGTCACCTCGCCTACAGCCAAGTAGACTACAAATGGTACGATTAGACCGGACCAAATAATGGCTAGGCTCCCATTCATTTAGTAATGGCACTCAGACTGCGACCTTGGATCTTACCACGCTCGGCAACCACGTACACTGCATGTCCCTAAAAGGCCACGACCCGCGAATTACTAAGATTTTGGTTATCGAAAACTCAATTAATACCACGGACTTCTGGCAATCTTTATCCTCTTCCTCCTATTGACTCAGACAAGACACTCAAAGACACATTTTATAGAAAGCAATCGTCTTCCACTAAACCACATCCATCAAGCGTTGCCAAAAAGACTATCTCTAGTGGTTCGACCTGAAAGGCTGATAGTACAAGGACTTATCGCCTTCACGATCATCAGCTCTTCAAGTGCATGCATAACGAGTCCATGTGCTCCGCTCAACACTACTGCTAGAAATCATGGGATAAAAATAACTCGGGTCTCGAACGTGTTTCAGCTAGATAAATGTAAGGAGACCGTACCAGAATTCGAAGGTGACAGTCCTCTAATCTGCCCTTCTCTGATCAGGGTCCACCAAGTTGGGGTGATAGCAGTTCAACTACTCCGATGAAAGGAAGCTTTCGTCCAGCTTCAGAACCCAGCAGACTTGGCTCGTGAGATGAATTCAAATTTACGGGTTCCATAGCGCCTGTTTGCTCAGACAATCTTTGGGACGAAAGCGAAACTGAAAACCAAAACACCTGATGATGACTGGCTCCCAATTGAAACGTTGACGTGCTGCTAAACGGTACTAGCCAACCGGAGACTCGGTCTTCTGATCAAAATATGAAAAGCAGGGGTCGTGCCTGCTGACTTTTTGACGCTGCCTTTACGCCCATCTTTAAAAAACACTGCTTATCAATTTTGGAGAGTTACCGTGGTGACAATGTGCTTGCATTTGCGGTTATTTTTCTGTGTCGTTGCTATGAGTCGGTTCAACTGTTACCATCTTGTGCGGGTGAGAAACGAATATACCTTCGGCCTAGACGACGGTTTTTTATTTAGTATTTTGGCATTCGCCGGGTTCCTAGACACCACCGCCACCACTGGCAGTCCTCCAACCTGTTCCGTGAATTTGGCTGCATGAGGGCATGCCAATGTAGTTTTTTCTCGCTTTATTCAAGTCTGCTATCATAAAGCAAGAGCTAAAACTCACGTATATGCAGAAAAGTCACTTGTTTTATGCCACCCCCAGTGTCCGTTCGGGCTGCGTTCTCACTAAATTTGTTCAATGATGTAACAGGCTAGATTATTCATCACGATTGTCCCCTAAACTGACAGCTTAGATGCGCCAAACCAACACCGGGGCTAGATCAGAATACCACAGGCCTTTTTCGGGTTGTGCTCCCATAGCAGATGCCGCTTATTAGGACGTGGTGGCACGCGTAAGCTCACACCATATCAGCCACCTGCGCTCGATCAGGTCAAGGCAAGCCACACAGTACTGTGTGTGTCACCAGTGCTCGACCTCGCTCTGCGGCCTTTTTCACTCTTTCAGGAAACCGGGCAAGGGTGGGTGAGAGACGAGAGAGTGTGTGGTAAATTCAGCGAAAGTCTCCGCGCTTGCTTTAAGTCTGTTAAAGCACGTGGTGGACATCGT